TCCAGAGCAAAGAAGAATGAAGAAAACCAAAATTCATGGAAACAGTTAATCCTAGTGACTGGTACGCCATCCAATCTGCAGCATATATGATGATGAGACCAGAAGAATTAGATGGTGCCCGGCTACCACTGTCATCCACTTGGAAGGGGATCTATGTAGGAGATCTTTGATAGAGAGGGAGAACAATGTGGAACATAACTCAAAATCATTTGGAAGGAAAAAAAGGGGGGGAGGGACCAGGTTTGCTGGTCTGATAGAGCCTGGTGGAAGCACTGAGACTATGGCCCCTCACTGCCCTTCAGGTCTGAAATGGAACCTACAAGCCACGAGGAGATCACTCAAGAGCAAAAGCTCAGAGGCAAGGACCTTCTTCTGGAGCCAACATGAAAAGAACACCTTCTCCTAGAACCATCAGCCTTAATTCAGACTTCTAGCCTTGTTAGCTGTGAGAATGAAATTTGTTTCTTAAAACCACCTGTTTGTGGTATTTCTTGTTATAGTAGTACTATATAATATAACCAAGACACCATCATACCACTATTGATTAGAGATGATGTAAACAAGGCATCCACCCCTTCCATGGCAGAGTAGAGTCGTCTTCTATAACTGTTTTGTTGTTCATACTAATTTTAGTATCCAAAGTAGATTTTATCAGGTTTTCTCTTCATTAAATGAGGAAGCCAATGGGTTGATGCTACTTCACAGAGGGCACTCCTACAGACCAGGAATAAAAAAAAAAGTGGTTGGATTCTCTTCATCATGGTTGTGTGCCTTCCAAAGGCTGCAAATAGAAAATTTTTGAGTGAAGCCTCTCAGTATCAGTTCTGTAAGTTTCTGGTTCCTAGGATTCATGAAGAATTCAACCGCTCAACCCTCTGCACTTCAGCTTACTTACAAAACTAATTCTTTGTGCTGTGTTGTGTATGTGTGTGTGTGTGTGTGTGCATGTATAAACCAAACCAAACTCACTGCCATCAAGTCAGATCTGACTCTCACATGCATATATAGATGGACACGTGTGTACAGATACATATATGTATACATAAATACACACATACATATAGAGAGAGACAAAACATTTGCCACTTCAGCAGTTGTTACCTGTATAATTGGATGACATTGATCACATTCATCATGTTATAGAGTCATTACAGGATGAGAATAACTGCCTCTTCTTGGTCAGTAAGCACAAGGGTAATTGTGATTTCTGTGGCAGTGAGGGTCTTTGTCATAATTATTTCAGTGTGTGGATTTGTAGAGAGGTGTGGTCACTAATAATACACATTTGCATCAGGTCTCAAGATTTAAGAATTGTGGGTAGATCTGTATTCTCATGTTTCCTGTCTTATACCTATGTAAGCTCTTTTTAACTTTTAAGTAGCTTTGCCTGTTTCTATGAAAGGGACAGATAGTGACAACACAACTGCTTAGTTTTGGAAAGTGAGTGGCTAATGTGTAAAACTTTGTAATTCTCAAAAGAATATTCTTTTTTTCAGCAAGTTGACTTTTCACCTTTTGATCTCTCCTAGAGGTCTTCAAGAAAAATAAGACCACTTCAGGGCTATGGGTTGCCAGTTTTTTGTGTTGGCCCCAAGTGTTCCCATGGTTATGATGGATACAGTATTTCCCTGTTAATAATATCTCATCCTGATTTCCATCTGTCCTTTCTGTTTTATTCAGTGTTCTGGGGAATCTTGTGAAGATGGTAAGAATTGCCTGTTCTCAAGAAAATGAAGTTCAGACCATAAAGAAAGGAAGAAGACTGAAATTGGTCACAAACTGGAGATACTGTTTCAGTGTGTTAGATGTCTATGAGATAAGATGTAATTAGTGATGAAATGAATGTAGAGTTAGTTAAGGGTAGAGGCTGTTGGCTATACCCTAGAGTAGACCTTGTTGAATGGAGAACCTTGTGTCATATCCCTGTGAATTCTCAGTTCTCTGGGTCTGTCAATCTCACCTTTCCTCTTGCATACATTGGAGTAACTTTGCTGATCTGGAATGTGTGGAATGTTTTAGGATTCAGTGACTGTTGAGGATGTGGCCGTGGTCTTTCCCCAGGAAGAGTGGGTATTGCTGGATCTTGCTCAGAGGAAACTTTACCGAGATGTGATGATGGAGACCTTGAGAAACTTGAACTCAGTAGGTAAGAGTGACATCATTTTCTTTATGTTTAATCATTTAGTGAAGAAAAATATTGTACTCATTTACTTTGCTCTAGTATTTGGGCTGAGGAATTAGAATACATAAAACAGACATTGTCCTTTGCTATGTGTAGCTTACATGTCTGCTTCCTCATTGTCTCACTTGTATAATTTTGCTATAACAGAAGTACAAGTGGGTGACTTTAACTAATTTATTTTCTCACACTTTGGGTGGCTAGAAGTCCAAATTTAGGATGTCGACTCTAAGGGAAGTCTTTGTTTTTCTGTGGGCTCTGGGGAAAGGTCCTTCATCTAATTCTTGGTTTTCTGGTGATCCTCATGTGGCATGGCATCTATCTTCCCCCATCTCTGCTTCTTGGTTGGTTGTTTAATTGTTTTTATATCTCAAAACATGCACTAAAAACAGACTCTATACTAATACTGTATTATTAATGCAACAACAACAGCCCCCCCCCCCCAAAAAAAAAGACCTTCCAGAATAACCACAGGTATTATAAGGATTCTGAATTTGTATTAGTCTGGAAGTTTCACTGACATCTGTCTCCCATGGGTGACCCTGCTGGTGGTTGAAATATTGGTGCAATTTCTTCCTCCATCACAACACAGAAGCCACCATTGACAACACATTAGCAAACTGCTAGTGGGAGACATACTAGAAATAAGGATGTGGCAATCTGCTTCTAAAAACATGGGCTAGTGAAAAGCTTATGAACGGTAGTTGAACATCGTCTGATACAGTGCCAGAAGGTGAGGCCTTCTGGTTGGAAGATACTTGGAATACAACTAGGGAAGTGCTGTCTACTCATTGTAGAGTCAACATTAATGACAGGAATGGAGTAAAGCTGTAGAGATCTTCATTTTCTGATGTGGGACAACACAAAATGAGAAGAAACACCTGCAGACATTCATTAGTAATCTGAATGTGGAATGTATGAAATAGGAATCTATGAAAATTGGAAGTCATGAAAAATGAAATGAAGTACATAAAAATCGATTATTCAGGCATTTTTGACCTGAAATAGACTGTTATTGGTTATTTTGAATTGGACAGTCATATGGTCTTCTATACTGAAAATGAAAATTGAAGGGGAACAGCATCACATTCATAGTCAAAAAGAACATTTCACAATCTATCCTGAAGTGCAGTGATGTGATAGGATAATATCCAAATGCCTACAAGGAAGATCAGTTAATATTCAAAATACACATGAACCGCACTAATGCCAAAGATGAAATTGAAAATTTTTAGTAACTGCTGTACTCTGAAATTGATCAGACATGCAGTCAAGATGCATTGATAATTACACTGGTGATTAGAATTCAGAAGTTGGAAACAAAGAAGCAGCATCAGTAGTTGGAAAATATGTCCTTGGTGTTAGAAATAAGGTCACAGGTCACGTGATAGAGTTTTGTAAGACCAATGGTCTGTTGTTGCATGCCATTGAGTTGGTCCCGATTCATAGCAACCCCTTCTTGGGTTTCCCAGGAGGTATCACTACAGAAGTAGATTGCCCAACCCTCCTTCCAAGGAGTGGCTGATGGGTTTGAACCACCAGGCTTCTGGTTAGCAGTCAAGTGCCTTAGGCACTACACCACCAGAGCTCCTAGACCAGTGATCTAGTCATTGTAAATACCTTTTCACCAGCATAAACAGCGACTGTATGTGGACCTTGCAGCTATCATATTTTCTGCATTTGTGGAAAGAGGCAGTGGAGAAGCTTGGTATCATCAGTCATAACAAATTAGGGGCTGCCTACAGAGCAGACCATCAGTTACTCATAGGAAATTTCAAGTTGAAGCTGAAGAAATTAAAACAAGCCTATGAGAGCCACCATACAATCTTGAGCATATCCCACCTGAATTTAGAGACCATCACAAGAATAGATTTGACACATTGACCACTAATGACCAAAGACCAGACCAGTTTTAGGAAAACAACAAGGACATACTGAAGTAAGCAAAATGTCATTAAAAAGAAAGGAAGGAAAGACCAAAATGGATGTCATAAGAGACTCCAAAACTTGCTCTTGAATGTAGA